TCCTGCGAGATCCGTAACCGCCCGGATCTTACAAGGATTATAAACTGAAGAAACAAGCAAACAGAAATCCAAGCTTACTATCGAATCAATCGGGAACCAGGACATCAAAGGAAATAGCATGAAAGTATTTGGTTACTACAGTGACTTTCCACGAGTTGAGATTAGTAAGGGGAGGTCCCAGTTCGCGTTTTCCGGTCCTGTTAGAAACGTTTTGAGATAGTCCGCTTGGGCACACATCGGCACATTGGAAGACACTGAGACCTCCGGTTAGCGAACCATGACTCTTCTTCGTCGTCGTCCCTTTCTTCAGCGTCTGTCATGGTAGCGATTTCAGCACAAATCTTCGTCGACCTTGTATAGTCTGTATCTCGGTCTAACCGACCCGAGAAGTTTAGGAATTTTCGCTGTAAATAGTCTTCAATGATTTCATACATTCTCTTTGATGCGGGCAGATCGAGGCCGTTGAAAGATTCACTTGGATCTAGTCCAGTGCTTGATCGGTCGTGTGTATGGCTTTCCACTGGACACAGACTATCTTCCAGATCTTCCAGTAAGTCATCGTAGACGGTCCAACTGTTCCTACTCCCTCGCGGCCTAGGTTCGGATGTTAGGGGTTCACTGTTTGGTTGGAGCTTCCACTCCAATTTTTTCCGGCGATGAACATGCACTTCAGCTTTGACTGGCTCCTGGTTCTTCTCGTAATCGTCAGTCACGAGAGATGTGGACGATGTAAACTGTATGGACTCCTCATCTGCCACTTTCTTGGGAAGGCATGACACTTTCGATGGAGCTTGAACATGCACACTTTCCTCTAAAGTTGGCTGTTTTAGCGCACGAACGAGTACTTGGAGCGTCGTTGAATCGTCCGTTATGTGATGATTGCGCCCAATGATTTTGTACTGATCAGTGTCCCCATAGATTATGGAGGTGGCTAATGATTCTGCACAAGGCAGGTCGGGTTCCCAGTTTTCATTCTCATCAGAAAGATACGGTCCCACCGGGACGTCTGAACTTACGCTATTTGGGTTCTGTTCATGACACGTGAAATAGTCTCCATCAGCGGTCTCTCCTGCTGGAGTGGTACACGGTGTTTTTATTTGGTTTTCTGTAATATCTTCCGTCAGAGTCCCCACAGATTTATTACTGGCTAGTTTTGGTATTGGTGCCTCCATTTTTACTCGAAATGCGCTTCTGGAGGGTCGGACCCAGAAGAAGGAAGGTGAGCCTGTTTGCAGTGCGGTTCGTACACAAACTGAACTGAAATCATATTTATGAATAACCAAATTAAATCCCTCTCAGTGCAGCAAACATGGCCAGGGCTATTTAGGTAGACTGGTTTGCGCAAGCGTGGAAGGCCCACAATCGATCGCATACTTTCAAACCAGTTTTCATCACGTGGATGAGACAGTGTTGTGTCAAATGCTAATATTCACTCTTGATCATCCACACCAACTGCTGTTCGTGAGCTCTCAATTCATTCTCACCTGCGGTGAAGCGCCTCCTTCTTTTAAATACTAGTTTGCACTGAATTTGACTGGATTCGGCTGTGGTTGGTCTAAAATCTGAGCCCTATCCTGCTGTCTGCTACAGACTAGTAAACAGACAGACAAACTGAGTTCTCGACTGAGTAACTGAATAAATGAATGAATGAATGGATGAATGAATGAATGCGCGCCTGCCTGCCTGCCTGCATGCATGCCTGCCTGCCTGCCTGCCTGCCTGCCTGCCTGCCTGCCTGCCTGCCTGCCTGCCTGCCTGCCTGCCTGCCTGCCTGCCTGCCTGCGTACAAGAATGACGAATTTGGGTCATTCTCCGCGTATCCATCACATTGTAAATAACGTGCCTCTGTTCTGCATTACAGCATTCGTTAATTTGATGTAAACTGTTTAAATTAGGAATGGTTCACAGTGCAACAGAGATGTTCCCACAATTAGATCGGACTAAGAAGACTCATTGGGACTGAAAAAGCCAACGTCAATAGACGGACGGGTCCTGTTTGATCATATCAAGTGGAAATCGCCGGAAATTTCGTTCACCAAAATTTCAGCCACAAGCAAAGTTAGACCTGGATTTTACGGGCTAAGATGCAGACAGTGATTACAGACTGCTGAATACTCCCACCTATCGCTCAAAAGACGTCAAGTTCTTGCGATCCTCGTCCTAAACTGATGCATCAGGATCTACGAAATAGTATCTTCATTTGAAATGACAATAAAGTTTAGCGAAATACACAAACGAGAGGTTCATCTGGGTTCCAGGTGCGTTTCCCTCAAAGCCAGATTTGTTTGAAAATTAGTGTATTTCGCTAATTTCGTGCTATTCGGCTTCAAGTAGAGCAAAAGGCTGACGGAAAAAGGGGGGCTGCGCCTGCCTGATGACCCCCAAGAAGGGCGAAACCGGTCTTGCGCTGTCGACGAATTTTCAGCAACCTTATGAGTAACTGTTGTGGACCACAGTCGCTCAATGCCTTCTTATTACCGTGAACCCCGGCCTGGATAGCCAATTGTTCGCTTGGTGCGCTTGACCAAACCAGAAAAATCAATGAACATGCGAGTCAGCTGCTCTGTTGATCACTGTCGCGTACAAGCGGGTCAGAACAGCGATACTAAGAATAGAACTCATCTGTCAAGGGCGAGTGAAGAACAACCAATGAAAACTGCCTCAACAAGAAACGGTTATTCCATTGGCAGTTATGTAGTCCCGTTACAGTCGGAGCTGGTTCTCCATGGAAAGTGTTTTTCGCATGGTTCAGCCTTAAAGACAGTTAAAATACTGAAGTATTTCCTCAAGCGTTATACTGCACCCAAGGTCACTAAAGACCCTTCGATAAGCCGCCACCAGTTTCGCCGTCCCTTTGATCTCTCAGGTGAACATGGTCCTTTTTGATGAGTCCCAAGAAATTTGAATCTGATGGTAGGCTTTCAAGGGTTTTTCAGCAACCCTGTGAGTAGTATTAAGCCAATTTACTCTTATGGAACAAAGTTTCCTCAAGGAGACTGTAAAATCGGACGAACAGAACTTAGAAATGTATGGTTAGGAACGAAGTAGCTGGTGTGGAATTCACATAGATCTTTTTTAAGCGTCAAATTAAAATCTCCGTTTTTCGATTACTGTTCCTGCTTTCTGGTTTAGCTTAGCGAGGCGTGTTTATTATGCGCCCTCAAACACTCAGTGATCTATAACTCATCAAGTAACCAGAGCAATTGACTCATCCCTGATATGCACTATAAGTTGGACCGAGAGTTTTCAATGACTCCTGGTGGACTTTCAATGAAGTTGGTGTAAATATGAATGCGAAAGTGCCCCATCATGGTGCGATTGAGGGGTTCACAAAATATCGACCGATAGTAGCAGGCCAGGATCCCTAACAGCCAACCACGTCACGCTTAACCGATCTCACGTGATAAAGGGAATGGCAATGAGTCTACCATGAATCGACTAGAATAGCCTGGACGAACGACCCACTTTGCGTTGTTTCGGTATCCAAACGCATGGAAGTTCACCTTGGTGGTAAAATTCCTCCTGAATACGAGGAGCTTTTGGAACTTTGTAATGAAGATTTCATCTTATAAGAGAAGCCAGTCAATACTGAAAAAACGAGAGGGACTGTAAAGCTGTTTCACTCTCACTGAGAGACATCAGCAGCGCGCATCTCACAAAACTCCAGAGAGTTTCAAATCCGCGGAATCCCGGCCGGCTACGAGCACCTGAGCAGTAGTGTGATTAACTCTCACTCAGTCATCTTTCAAGTACCGGATCCACATCACGTGGTCACACTTGATGACTGGCTCCTCGATCGAAGACTTCTCGGATGGAATTTTCACCCATGGGCTAATCACACTACTGTTCAGCCGTTCGTGGCCAAATGGTTGTGTTCGAACTACTGGCCGGGAGATCACGGATTTGGTGCTCCCTGGAGTTTCGTGAAGTGCACAAAGCTGATAGCTCCCAATAGAGTGGAAACAGCTGTTTTCCTTGGTCTTGAGGATGAATTGACTTCACTCACAGGTTGAAAAACACCATTGGAAAAGTTCTGGACCTTATCGCTGCATTTTCCACTGTCATTTCGAAATCCACGGTGTTGCTTTTGGGAGAAACTCTCCGAAGGGTTACAGAAAGTTGGGTGCCTCCGGGTTTGGCGCGATTGCAAGCGCATCTGTTGAACCTCACTGCGGTTTGATAAAACCGAATAAACGGGAAAATATTTATTGCTACTTTGTCGTTCTCTGTTTGAAGTTATAGTTAGCATTATGCAGACCTGACTGAATTCGGTGTTTCGAGTTATGTTGCTTCTTCCAGGATGTTTTCTTGATGAAATGCCATTGCTTCGAGAATTACCTCCTTATGGAAGGCCTCCGCAATCAATCAATCAATCAATCAATTTATCAGATATAAACCGTGTGCCATAGGCAATCATTGGTTCGAGCTGCTACAGTTTCGATCACCGGAACACGAGAAAGTGGAGGCGAAAGCATGTTTCGTTTGTTCGGGTACGTACGCAGTGAAGATGGTATCTTTGATGCACGAGCGCCACGGACTGCGCGATTGAGCCAATTTCACCAATGTTATTAACCACTGGTGATTTGAGTACCGGGGTCCCCATGGACTTGCCCACCCGAATAAGTTTGCTTATTCAGTCCTGCAGCAATACGACATAAACTTCCTGTTCATCCTGTTTGGAATGATCTACCCGAATGTTAGTTCACTGTTAATGAATTCACTGAGCCTGCCAGACTACGCGAGACAGAGAACCCGGGACACGGCTATATTGTCAGAACAAACGTACAGGGCTTCCGCGTGAGGATAACTAAATGGTCACATATGGTCGTTCGCTTGTTCGTTCTGTACAGCCAATGGCGGTGTTCCGGTCGTGAACAATCTTAGGCCCACTACGCTGGCCGTGTTTGGTGAGCTCCGCCAACTCACCTGCTATCCGGAACGTGTGCGACCGATGGTGACCTTGGGGATGCGTCGTTCTCTGCACATGTCTGAGCGCGTCCTGACACAATGCTAAAGGGTCATTCTCCTCTCTGAATAACCGGGTATCACATCGATTGAAAAGACATATGATGAGCCAACTTCGAACCAGTACAAGATTTTATGCTGATTGATCAGAATCTGCAAGTGTCAGAATCGAGCCCTTTTAACTCGACTCTCCTCACCCCATCACGATCATTCTGGGGGTAACATCTTGAAGAAGACTTTTGGCAGCACATGCGTAGTAATCTTTCTTCGTTACCATTACAGAATGTCTCAGGCTATCATGCCTTTTGACCTATCGCGGACAAAGGAACAGCATTGGGGTTGTGGAACCAAGATCGCAGAGAAGCGCTGTAGGCGCATCTCGCGAATCTCCAAGGTGGCTGTGCCAGTGAATTTCGGTCAATATTTGAAAACTACGCCATTCCGACAAAAAAAGTAACGGGCTGATAATGGTCAATGCATATTCATTTTCTGTAGTCTGTTCCACGTACATGACCGTCCAATTTTCCTGTTCTCCTAGGATTCCGTGTGAACAGCGATGTACTGAAGCGAGTGAATAACTAGGCGTCCAGCTCAAGAACTTTGTTCAGTCGGGCTAAGCGCTGGATCAAAAGTTTGTGACACATTACATTTCACAGGGAATCCGAATGCGGAAAGTCCCATCATGGAACTGTCAACAAGGAAGACGCTGTAGTTTACTCGCGATGTGCATAGTTATTCGAAACTTTCTTCTTTGCGAACTGTTAAATAACTTTAAGCGTTATCTAGAACCTGTGTACGGATTACGCGCGTGGGTAGGTGGTATAAGGTGCAGTTCGCCGGTGAAGCAATTTTTCCCAAGTCTACCCGGGATGACTTTATCACTTTTTCGTTAGACATTATTTTTCTACGTAAACGCCGAAACAGAAGTACAGTGTAAACAAAAAACATATTTGAGAGTAAGCAACTACAAGCCCATCACCATCATCATCGTCGTCATCATCATCATCATTTTAGAACCTTATTCCCTCAAGCAAAAGACGAATATCATGTGATACCTGATCGATAGGGAACACCATTTTTTCTGAACGACGCACTGAAAGCCCAGTTAAAACTAATAGAGGGCAGATTCATCCAAAACTGTTAACTGATCCACTTTGTATATACTGTCGGTAAAATCTAAGCAAAAACTGGTATCTTTTGGAAGCACACCCGCCCAAATGCGTTTGCCATGTGTTGAACTGATTTCACAAAGACTCTCAGAAGGTGTCGAAACGACTTGGGTATCAGCGAATTCCCATTGGAGCCCATTCCGAGCATGAAATCATGGGGCGGTCTGCCGAAATCACTGATGAAAGAAAACACAGATTGGTTATGCACTACTCATGAGGTTGCTGAAAATTCCCCGACATCCCACGACCGGTTTCGTCCTTCTTGGGACTCATCAGATAGGTGCAGTCTCCGAGTTTCCTTCAACCTTGTGTCCTACTTGAAACCACATTGCACGAAATTAGCGAATATACACTCACTTGCAAACTAATTTGGTTTTTCGAGAGACTCTCCCGGAACCCAGCTGAATCTCTCGTTTGTGATGTTTCCGGGGACTGCGCCTACCTGATGAGCACCAAGAAGGGCGAAGCCGGTCGTGGGCTGTCGACGAATTTTGAACAACCTTATGAGTAGTGCATTACGAATGTATTGTGATATCTCGAATATCGTAGCGACTGAAACATGAGGCGGCCCGGTGCAGCACATTCAGTTGCCTGGAAACATCGCAAACGAGAGATTCAGCTGGGTTCCACGTGAATCTTTCGAAAAACCGAATTAGTTCGCAAATGAGAGTATTTCGCTAAGATACTTGTTTGTCTAATACAGTCCGTGAACAATTATCAGTTAAGTTCACCCAGAGAATTAGAAGGCCAGTTCCAAGTTAGTTGCTCACCCTTCGATTGATTCTAATCATAATATCTTTCTGAGTCATCATCACCATTGTCAGCTGTAAGAACCGCGTACTCGTCGTACACTGGTTGTAGCTGCCACAGTTTCGTTTACCGATGATTTGAAGGGGGGTAGGTAGCTGCGCATTGCACGCGCGAGCTGGTAAATTGGTGCATAAATCCAGCACTGTCAGTGGGATGTCAAGTGGGGGGTTGGGGTTGGAAAAAGAGCTATTCATTGAAGGCAATAGCTTGGATGCACGAGCGCCACTGAGGGCGCGACTGGGCCACCGGCTGTGTTGCAGGAGGCCAGCTGAACTGCTCTTCGAAGTGTTCGGCCCATCTCTCTAGTCGACGATTTCGCGAGTGAATTAATGAGCCATCTTTTTCACTTATCGTTTCGCTGACCGTTGCTTTCCTAGGGCCAGTCGATCGTATCAGTTGATAAAGGACACGGCTGTTTCCCGTAGCAAAAGCCTTCTCCATCTCCCGAGCTTTCGATGTCCACCAGAGCTCTCGGTCTTTTCTTAGACTCTTCACTATTTGGCGTTTGAGGGAGTTGCGTGCACCGTCGTACTCGTT